CAGCCACCTTTTATGCACTGAGCTGCCCATAGGTGGCTACTCATGCCGAGTGGGTGGAAGGCAGCCTGGAGCTGGAGCCCCGCACACTGGGGCAGGAGCTGCCTGACTGCAGCTTCCTCCCTGCCTAGTTAGGCATGTGGCACCCAGCACATATCCCCATGGCCACTTCCCTGAGCTACCTGCTACCCAGAGCGGCGCAGCAGGGGCAGGAGGAGGAGCTGCTGGAGGTGGGAAGAGCCGAGCAGAACCTGGAGGGCTGCAGCCACACCAGGAGCAGCCCCTCCAGGAAGAAAGATACAGACTAGATGGTCAGTGGTGCCTTCCATCCTTACAATTTATTGGTATTAAATCAACAAACCCACGGAAGTAAAGTTAACCCAAAGCAGGTTTAAACCACTGCAGCATATCCTGTTTAGCATTATGCCACTAGCTAAACCAGATAGTCCCTACCACAAAGAGTTGATTTAGATAGACCAGATAAAGGATGGGAAAAAGAAAATTCCCAGACGGGGACCTGAAACAGAAAGATCACACACAAGCAACCTCTGGGAAGCAGCAATCAAACCCTGAGCTAAGGTTCAAACTGGAAAGTGAAGCTGATGGGAAGTGAAGTCGCTTCCTCATAAGACTCATGTTTAACATTCAATCAAGTTTAATTAGTAAATTTAACTAGCAGATGTAACATTTTCTCTATTCATCATGTACTAACATTTCTGTAAACTATAGATGACTTGACCTTTCTGATGAAGTGGTTAAAACTCTCCAAAAGCTAGTATGATGATTCAACAGAAGTAAAAACATCATTTTTTCAAGATGAACAAATCAGAATCGGTTACATAGATGAACAAAAAAACAACCACAATAAAAGTTTATCTAAACAGAGATTCATATGAGAGTCGCACCCCAATGTGGAGCCTTCATATCATCTCCTCTCCTTATCTCCAGCAGCGCTTCCTATGCTACGTCCCTGGAGCATGCAAAGGGAGAGAAAAATGAAGTTGGATTTAACACCCTGGTGTCCTGGGAATGAAGTACTACCCCTCCATCCTACATCACAGATTATAGATGAGGCAAGTGTGATGACTGTAGAGAGACAGAACCAAAGAACCGGCATGAGACTGCAAACAAGTTGCCCACTAAAAACCTCCTATTATTATAAATGCATAGCTGCAGGTCTGACAAAAGGCTATGCACTTACCTGTATTTGCAAGACTTCTCATAGGTGCCCTGAAACTGACTGTTTGAAAAGGATGGTAGTCCGTTCCAGGTCTGCTAAAACCATGGTACTGAGAGCACTGTGCCATTTAGGAGGGGGTGAAAAGCACCAAGGGGGTGAAAAGCACCTTGTTCAAATTTGCGGATTACACTAAGATGTGCGGAGAAGTGGGCATGCTAGAAGAGAGGGACAGGCTACAACTAGATCTGGACAGGCTACAGAGGTGGGCAGATAATAATAGGATGTGTTTCAACACTGAGAAGTGCAAGGTACTGCACCTGGGGAGGAAGAACCAGCAGCACACCTACACACTGGGGAACTCCCTTTTCATCAGTGCAGAGGCAGAAAAGGATCTCGGAGTCATTATTGATGCCACAATGAACATGGGCTGACAGTGTGGGGACGCAGTCAGGAAGGCTAACTGCGCCTTGTCATGCATCCACAGATGCATCACAGGCAGGTCCAAGGAGGTGATTCCCCCCCCATGCAACATTGGTCAGGCCACCGTTGGAGTACCGTGTCCAGTCCTGGGTGCCGCACTTCAGGAGGGATGTGGACAGCATGGAGAGGGTCCAGAGGAGGCCACCCGCATGATCGGGGGCAGCAGGGCAGGCCCTACGAGGGGAGGCTACAGGACCTGAACCTGTTCAGCCTCCACAAGAGAGGGCTGAGAGGGGATCTGGTGGCTGCCTATAAATTTGCCAAGGGGGACCAGCAGGCAATGGGAGAGTCCCTGTTCCCCCGAACACTACCGGGGGTAACAAGGAACAACGGCCATATGTTGACTGAGAGTAGATTCAGACTAGACATCAGGAGGCATTGTTTCACAGTCAGGGCGGCTAGGGGCTGGAACCAACTTCCAAAGGCAGTGGTGCATGCTCCTACCCTGGGGGTCTTCAAAAGGAGGCTAGACAATCACCTAGCCAAGGTCATTTGATCCCAGCATCCTTTCCTGCCCATGGCAGGGGGTTAGACTAGATGATCTGATTAGGTCCCTTCTGATCCTACCAACTATGAAACTATAAGGAGCGTTGCTTACCCTGTCAATGCTGTGGTATAACAGCCCTGAAACTTGACTTGCTCCCTTCATATTAGAAGCATCCCTGTGACAGCTGCTTCCCCTTCATTGTTCCTGGTACAATAGCAATACAGCAGACAGTGAGGCTGAAAAATCCTATGCACTTAAGCAGTGTATGCAGTTGATTAATATGCAGATAACCAGTTGCTTACAGTATAAGCAACAGGCACGACATTTGGACTAGCATTGTGTTACACAGTTAAGCATATTATATTTAAAGCAGATACATATATAAGTAGATTACCTGATACATACATGGACTGATCAAGCTGAAGAAGCAAAAGATTTCTACCCAGGACCCAATGATCCTAGACACTAATATAACTGATACATGACACATGCACCTACATGCAGGCGCGCACACGCACAGAATCTAAGTTGTAACTTTTCATCAACATTTGATGCACTATAACAATGGAAGTAAATTTTAAAAACAATGTTCTATCAGCGAACGTAGAAGTAGATATTTAATTTTACCCTGGACACAGCTTTACTTTATAGCAAACTGTAAAAGAAATTCTTACGGAACTGATTTTCAGAACCAAATTTCAGTTGCTCCACTGTAGGAAATGAAAATGGCAAAATGTCTTCAATTTCCTAGACTGAGAAATGTATTGACAATCAAATATATGCAAGTGAATTAAAGCCAGAACTAGCTAAAAACTTACAAAGGCTTACATGACAGGTCGTAGGAGAAACTTTAGAAATATGTGAAATGTCAGTTACAATACGATTTCATAAACCTGTCACAGTCTGCGCGGTTTTGAAAGAGAAGGAAATCTGAGGCAGCAGCACTCCTCTTGATTTCACCATTCCTTGTGACAAAATAGAATGAAACTGAAATGTATTTTTTTTAGAATTAGTTTCAGTTGCTAGGTTGTGTCAGAATGTTTTTGTGAGTAGATTAGAGGTGAAAACATTGATTAACTAACCTTGTAAAGCATCATATTTATCTCCAAGCACCAGTGACGCCTACAAACTACACCATTTGTGCAGCACACTCAGAATATGCAACAAGAAACTTTTCACAAAAAAATTCCTGTACAAACAAGTTTCGGTCACTTCACAGAAATTAGTTTAATACGCTGCACTGTTTGAAGGTTTGATCCGGGATCTTGCTCACTTCATGGCCTAGATTAGTAAAATCCTCAACACAGAAAAAAAACCATAGACATGACAGTCTATGTTTTGATGTACTCAGGTCTCACACAGTTCTTACAAAGCAGGTTCTGGGAGTTAAAAGCAAAAAATAGGCTTGCTTCTCACCTAGAAACGATCCAGGAGCCCCTTTGTGGGGGAATGGGAATATATGATAGAGAACGACTGCCAAACCAACAGGATTTACACATCAAAAGACCAACAAAACTCAGTTTTCAGTAGAACCTGGTGAAATACAACTTTCAATGAAGAATATCTACGAGCACCTTCTGCAGCCTATTAAGGTCAAACTGGCCACATCTACACAAGACACTGACTGCGCAGCTGTTAACTGTGTAACACAATGCTAGTTGTTACTGCGCGCTCATTTAGTACTTGTTTATCCACAAGTACTAAATGTATAGTATACACAAGTACTAAATGACTGTGCAGCAGTAGCCTTGCATCACACTTCCTGCCATGTGACTCTACTGCGCAGTCAGTGTCTCATGTAGATACGGCCACGGTGAGTTATATTTTGATCCAGGAATTTGGCCTGTGTAAACATGAAATGCTCAAGTGTTTAATTTCTGCCTCATTGCTAGATGATTTAACGTCTTATTTTAGCTTTTACAGTCCTTTGTAGGCTCAGGCTATGAGGGCACAGGTACCAGGTTACGCCTGAGGTACAAAATCATAGAGGGCTGGGTCACATGATTTTACTCTGGATAAAATGAGGGAGTTTTCTGTACCATCCCGTACAAATTCACTGAATGCTTCTGCCAAATTACAGTGTAAAAAACTGGGGCGGGGGGTGGAAACTGGCCCAGCAGCTGTCTTGTCCAGGCCACTTTAAATGTGCCCGGGCAGCCTGGACTGGCCTGTTTCTCCAAGTGCTCCTCTACCCACGCTTCACAGCGACCCTCCAACATTGCTTGTGTTAATGAATATAATAGTAGTATAATTGCTTGTGTTAATCAATATAATGGTTATTATTATTATTCCTTGTGCTGATTCACATAATGTTGTTATTATTGCTCGTGTTAATGAATATAATGTTATTATTGTTATTATGACTATGATTGCTTGTGCCAATTGTATAATTAATTACAACATAGGGGGACAGGAAGAGGAGAGTGAAAAACTTCCTTGGCTCAGTGCTGCTCCCTGTGGAAAAGTCAAGTTAGATCTGCCCCTTTAGTCCTGGCATCCCAGCACCGCACTCAAGAAAGGCCATAACAGGCCCCTCTCCCCGCACTGGGGCCTGCGAGGCTCCCCAATGTGCCCTTGCCAGCGAAGGGGCAGCTAGCCTCAGGGACCTCAACTGCGCACGCGCACACGCCAGGCCGTCCTCCCCGGAGCCGGCAAGGCTCCGGGCGCATGCGCACAACCTGTGACATGAAGCGGGAGGGAAGGGAGAGCAGCGTGCATGCGCCCCAGACTTCCAGGAGGGAAGAACACGCAGTGCGCTTGCGCACGCCCTGAAGCGCCCTCCCCCCGCTCCCCTCCCTGTGACATCACTCCCCCCTCTCCATTCCCCCCCTCTCCCTTCTCCGCGGCCGCCCCTACCGGAGACCCGGATCCGGTCGCTGCGCCCGGGCGGGGCCTCTTCCCTGCCGGGCAGCTTGGAGGCTGAGTCTCCCATGGCGCCCAGGAGCGTGCGGAGGAAGCGGCGGGGCGCAGCGGTCATCGCCCTCCGGCTGCGGCCCTGACGGGGGGGAGGGTCGAAGGCCGTTGGG